CAATATCTTGGCGATATTCCCCTGTGAAGGAACTGGGGGGGCTTCGCTCGAGCTGCTGCTGCTGCTGCTGCTGCATGCAGCCACTGCAGCAGCAGCAGCTGCTGCTGCTGCTGCTGTCGCCGCAGGCCCGGTCACAGCTGCAGCAGCAAGAGAGGTCAGGGGTGTCTGGTTGTTGAGGATATTACTGTGTGTATATACACCTCATCTTCTGATAGTTCCTGCAGCAGATTCAGCGCTCTGGGCTCACCGAGACATCTCTGCTGCTGCTGCAGCACCACCGCTGCTGCTGCGTCCGCTGCTGCAGCAGCAGCAACTGCCGCAGACACTGCAGCAGCAGCAGCAGCTGAGACTGTTGAAACCCCCCACATAAAACCTGCAGCAACACTCTTATTACTTCCTTTTGCTGCTGCTGCTGCTGACGGTCTCTAGGGCCTCTCCTGAGCCGACTTGTTGGCAAGGGGATTCCCAGTGACCCCGGAGCAGCAGGAGCAGCAGCAGCAGCAGCAGCAGCAACAGCAACTGCAACAGCAGCAACAGCAAGTTGTACAAACACCGCAGCAGCAGCAACAACAACTGCAGCAGCTGCAGCAACATGTCTGCCCAGTGGGGCCCCCCATCAGCCCGGCATGCACGCGACGAGACCGCTCGCGCCGTAGATGCAGCAGCGGCAGCAGCAGCAGCAGCTGCTGCTGCTGCTGCTGCTGCTGCTGCAGCGGGAGCGTTGGGCCGCGGCTGCCGCACCGCCCCACCCACCGCAGCAGAGAGGCCCCCAGTAGCTCCCCCCCCCTCTCTGCGTATGGAGCCGCAGCTGCATATACACCCCAGCAACAGCAGCATCAGCAGCAGCAGCAGAAGCAGCAGAAGCAGCTGGAATCCACACCACAACCAATACCACAGCATTAGCAGCAACAGCAACACCAGCAGCAGCAGCAGCAGCAGCGGTGATTCTGTCGGCGACACTGCCGGCCCTCCTGTAGGAGACAGAGGCAGCAGCAGCAGCAGCAGCAGCAGCAGCCTTCATCATTACAGCTACCCTGAGCAGAGGTCACGCATGCACCAGCAGCAACAGCAGGAGCAGCAGCAGCAGCAGCATTCCTTGCTGCGTCCCCGCGGGAGGCCCCCAGAGGATGTCTCGTGCGTCTCTCTGCATGCACCCGCCCCCCACCAGGAGCTGCAGCAGCAGCAGCAGCAGCAGCAGCACTTCGACGAGCAGCAGAAGCAGCAGCAGAGGATCCGTCGGCCTGTGCAGCTGAAACCTCGCCAGAGGGGCCCCTCTGAGGAGGGGGCCCCCGGGGCCCCCCGAGGCAGCTGGGCAGCCCAGGACGTCCGCCAGCGTGTGCTGCTGCTGCTGCATGTCTTTGCCTATGCTTCTGCCTCCTGCCCCAGGCGCTGCTCCTTGCTGTTCGT